TTTTTTTGTTTGAGTAGGTTGTTGAAGCATCTGCCAAGTTCGATATGCTTCTCAAGGTCAAGAGAGGAGGTAAAGAAGAGAAGTTCAAGGTCGAAGTGTATAGGAATGAGGAAGGTGGTTTCCATTTAAACAAAATGGATAATACTAATGAAGGTTAACTATGGATGTAGTTATCTGCTGAAGATTGATACTGTACGATAATAATGGCTGTTAGTGTTGTGACTAAAAGTTACCTGGTCTGTACTTCTGTTATTTTCATGATTCCAATGTGACTAGAACAAGTATTGTGGGACTTTTGAACTTTGTTTTAGTTTTGAGCTTTTGTGAAATCAGTGCACACATATTCCTGTCTATTTCTTTCTGGGTTAAACCTCGCTATTGGAAAAAAGACAACCAGATTCTTTTAAAAAACTGGCAAGTTAATGATTTTAAAAATGGAATGGATTCAAGGAGCCAGCTTGACTTCTGCTAGTGCCCTCTGCTGCTTGCAAATATCAAATGTTGGTGTTTTTCTAATCTGAGGAAGTCAAGCTATTGATATTGGGCAGGAGAAATTTCATTAGACCCTGTCATTAAGAGTAACTCAATCAAGTGTACTTCTCAATGTTCGTTCTACAAATTACCATGTTTAATTTCAAATATAATATTCATACATATTACTTATTTTATTTATTTCCATCTGTGTAGGATTAAATACTATTTGTTATAATTATAATAAGTACAAATAAACATGGTTAGTGATTGCATAAATATTTGTAGATAGTCCAACTGAAGATGGTAATGAGCTCTGAAAGAGCGACTTTACCTGCTTTTATTGCTTGTTTTAGCTTGAATTCCTTGCTTTAAGGGCTTGAAAAGCCTGATTTAACCTGCTTTGAACTCCTTTAGGAGTGATTTCTTGCTATAACTGTCTTTAACCTTAGCCCCCCGGAACACCTTGTCCCACTGGATTGCCTGTTTTTACTCGTCGTTTCAGTGCTGCACATTTTCTTAATTTGATGAGAAATGTCTAGCAAACGAAAGCTTTTTTTTTTTTTTTTGGGTAGCAAGCTTGTCGTTTCAAGGCTGCACATTTTCTCAACTTGATGAGAAATGTCCAGCAAACGAAAGAAATGAACCGAGAAGACCACTAGATTTATGTATTTATCTTTAATTTTTAAAAAAAAAAAAACAAGAAACTAGAGCGCTCCATGTTTAACCCCACGCAATTCATGCCAACAGTTGGCTATGTTGGATACGGAGTATAGAGCAAGATAAATACATTCGATCAATGCCTGCTTTCATTCGCAGTAATATTAGCCATAGAGCAATAATTAAGTGCATTTCAAAATAACAGGCTTATCGCACATTACAATCTGTCGAGCCAAAAAACAATCATCTTGCATTGAGATCCAATTCACCTTCTCCAGGCCATTCACCTTGGATTGCTCCATCTCCATTCTCTGTTTCATCGTCATTCAAAAAGTCGTCAGATGGCTCTTTATCATCCCCACCTTTGTGCTGCATATTATTATTATTGCTGCTGCTTCCCCCCCATCCATTGATGACGTCATCCTCACCACCCATGACCTCAGTATCATTACCAAGCGCACTGCCTCTTATTGGAGCCCGTGCCATCATCTCAGCATGAGCTTGCGATTCTGCATGAGCCATGGCCGCCATGCGCATATTTGCTTCATGACTTTCTCGACTAGCCTTTTGCCTAGATTCCCTCAACTCAAGGAGGGATCTCTTTTCTTCCTGCAACAGAAATTGCTCCATCATCAACTTCTCCTCTGTCCGGAACTCCCCAACACCTCGCTTACGGGAAATGATGTTGAATGCAAGGACTTGCTTCTCGAATGTGGCCGTGAACTCTGCAACTTTCGCAGCAATGTTATGGTCCCACTGTTGAGAGCGTGAAAGAATTTGGCCACCTGCAGCTGCAGTGGTGTTGTTGGCTGAATCAAGAATCTTGTCATCTTCCTCTGCTTCATAGTCCGCCACCACATGGTATGGTAATAGCCTAACCATACATGTATAACAGGAGCACAATTTTTACTAAAAAGCGAAAAAATAATTTGCAGTCACAAACGATTTCTTTTCAAGCATTCAACATTTTTATCCAAAAATCTTTCAGTAATATCATGCACAATCAACAACATACCATCACTAGGAATCAAACCTTTTGATCTGCTATGGTAGAGCCTCCGCGAATGAGGTTTTCTATATAAGTTTAGCATGTTCTCTAAAACATGGAAATCCATAAACTTCACAATTTAGTATTCACATTATTCCAGGGTTAAAGGGTTAAACTTTCATAGCAACCTACCAGCAGACATAAAGGTACAATTTAATTTAGAGGTGAAACAATGAACATCTGAGTATTACTTGAGGCAACAACTGAAAACTAAAAACTCGGAGAAAAAAAGAAGACCTCTCGCAGGCATCTTCGAGGGAAGAGAACGGGCGCTTGAAATCGGGATGACAAACCCGCCAGGCGTCCTGATAAGCCAGCTGAAGAGAGGCCTTGTGGTGCTGCTGCTGCTGCTGCTGTTGTGGTGGTGGTGGAGGATTATTCGGAGCAGGATTATTAGGGTTGTTGTTAGGATTAGGAATGATTGAATTAGGGTTTAGAGGGCGGTGGTGAAGGATAGGAGGATGGTGAAGCTGTGGGCGGAGATGGGCATCGATGTTGGAGGGGAAGCGGGACATCGCGTCTTTCTGCCTCTGGATCTGTTGCAACATCAGCTGTTGCTGTATCAATTGCTGCTGCGCCATCGCCGCCGATTTGCCGCCGTCTTCCATTTCCAGCCTTCAACTGTTTTCTTTTTCTCACTCACTACGTAACTGTTTTATACAATCAAGTCAAAAGGCACATCGTGGGCCTTGAAAGAAAGTGATGGGCTTATGTTTTAGTTGTGGGCCGTATTAGTGGAGTTTTGACCTATATATATATATATATTCAGTTGGCCCCAAGTCAATTATCATCAAAGCCACACACGATTCAGATTCAAATTCAAATTCAAAAACAGAATACAGCACATCAATGGCGTCGCAAATGAAGGGTTTCTTCAGAGAGAAGAAGAAATTGGGTGTCTCCAAAAATCCGAAATCATCGAAGAAAACTGCGAAGACAAAACACTCGGCGACCTGCGGCACCGATGTTGTTCAGCCTCCAGCTCTTGTCGCCCATGGCTCCTTCGATCTTCAAGGTATCCTCGCTTTTTTTTTTTTTTTTATCCTGATTAGTATAATCTTTTGTTTGGAAATTCCATAATTTGTACCTATATGCACCCAAAAAAAAAAAAAAAAAACAGTAACTTTGAGTTCAATACTTTCTGGGGGATTTATATGAAACTTATCATCCAAATTATTGCCTGGTACAAATATTTAATACCAAATTGGTGGCCTCACAGTAAAAGATATGCAATTGAGCTAAATCTTGTTTGCTGTTGTTTTATAAGTAGCAAGTTATTATTATTTTTTTTTTTTGTTTCTCCAAGCAAGTTATTGTTTTAACAGTACACTGTTTTGAAAATCATACAATCATTAATATATGTTTGGAAATTGCACAGACGAGTATGATGACAAAGAAGAGGTTCTGAGGCAATTTGACATGAATATGGCTTATGGGCCATGCATAGGGATGAGCAGACTTGAGCGCTGGAATCGAGCTAAGGTCTTGGGCTTACACCCTCCAGAACTAGTCGAGAATCTGCTTAAGGCAAACATGGCCAGCTCAGAATGCCTGTGGAATGGACGTGTTTAGTTTGGAGCTCATTTTCATTGCTTGCTGCTTGTCGAGGCCTTGTTTCTTATCCTCTTACGTGCTTTATCTGTGTGTATTGGTTTGCTTCAATTTGTTTCTTGTTGATGCATGCCTGTCCAACTTTATCTTTTTTTTTTTTTTTTTTTTTTTTTTTTTTTTTTTTTTTTTTTTTTTTTTTTTTTGGTCGTCTGTCCAACTTTATCTTCTGCTTAGGTGAACTTGCAATGAAACCTATATAATATATGTATTCATATGTTGCGAGCCGCAGCACTGTGCTTATGATAATTTAGTCCCGTTATGCTCTAGTTTGATTTGTGTTTTCATTTGATAGTCCTTCATTTTACTTAAATTGCCAAATTCAGTCGTGTTTCTTGTTCGATTTTTGCTGTTAGCGGGACTGGCTTGTTGTATGTGAGGCGAGAAATATGGCCTGGGTGCATTTGACATACTAAAAAGAAAAGAAAAAGAAGTAGTAGAAGAAGAAGAAGAAGAAAGATAAAAACACCCAATGTATCGATATTGAGATTACATTAACCAAGAAAACACTCCAGAGGGATATCTGCCTTTTATCTTTTACCAATTCTGGAGCACATTAATGTTGTAATCACTGTAATTTGAAGTTTTACAAATTTCATCATAACTATTTCCTCTGTTTATATACATATACATGGGATACTCGAGTGTACTTTTAGACCAAATGCATCAATGTTGTAACAACATGGTGCCTAATCTTTTCTTCCTGGCAGCATGTTTTAACTTCTCAAACGCTACAAGTCCCACCTGCCTCACTCTTTCTCTAGACAAACCTATCCTGAAATTTCACCAAAGAATGAAATCAATTAAGAAGAAGGAAATGCTGGACATGTAATAGGAGTTTTTGAGTTAATTCAAACAAATATAATAGCATCCATTTCTTTCACAAAAGATGGTTGGGAAAAACATTGTTGTGTAGTGCTCACCGTCGACTGATATCTTCCCAAGTTAGAGATTCATTGTCTAGACCATAGTACATGCGGATAATCTCTCTCTCCCGTTCTCTCAATGTCAAAGTAATGAGTTTGTCTACTTCATCCTGCAAAAACAAAACATTTTCAGCTTGATGGTGTTAAAGAGTAGTTATCATTCAAACAGTAGTACTAGAACAAATCATGTCTGAGAAGCATCACTATAAGTCCATCACATGCTGATTATATTCCATTAATTTCATACTGTGATACCTTAAGTGCCCACTCATCAACTTCATGCCATGGATTATTCTTGACGTGATTATCTGCAATGTACTGCGAACCGCAAAACTTATGTATTAGAGCTTAACAAGGTAATCATTGAAATGCAGTATCCATAGTGACAAACCATTTCATGGAACGATCCAACTTGTTTATTGTTTACTTACATCGAGGTGACTTTCTCCAGTACTATCTAACGAGGCGAATGCTACTCTATCAAGAGAGAACACCTTGGTGTTTGCCTGGAAATATGAAAGTTTTATATAGTTACTTGGATGAAAACGACTAATACATTAGACTGATTCACATGTCAGAGAGTTCCGAGTACCTCAATAGCATTTGTGATTTTTTTCTGTGACATGTTCAAACGTTCTGCAATTTTCTGAAGTTGCAGATAATGGTCACTCATAAGTCATATAAAAGGTGATAACAGAACAGCCACGGACGAACATTTCAGGTATGAAGGATTAGAAGTAGTGATATCAATGAACTATAACAATGACTATTGATCTCATAAGCAAATATTTAGTGGGCTCACATCAATTGATGGAGTCACTCCTTTCGCTTGCAGTCTGGCTTTTGCATTCCGTATTAAACTCAGTCTTTCATGCAAGTGGATTGGCAACCTTAGGGTTCTTGAGTTGTCCATTAAAGCTCTTGAAACACCCTGTCAAGATAGCAAATAATAAATATTGAAGTCACAGGATGACATACTGCCAGTAGTATTCCATAATTTTCTGTGGTGATCTTATTCTCACCTTCCATTATTCGACTACAAGGGATTAAAAAAAAAAAAAAAAAGTATAAAGTAAACGGAATGAAAATGAACAGTATCATTTTAAAATTGTGCTAAGACTGATATAATTTATGATAAAGTAAACTGTTGAGTTTTAGCAAAGATCATCAATTAAGCACTTCACTGCAACCATATTCCTCATTAATAATCAAGAATATATTGAATAATAAAACTTGCATGGGGGCCAAAAGGCCTTACCCACGTAACTGAGGAATAATGACTTTATATTCATAGAATCCAGTCTAAAGTCATTATCAGCCAATATGATAGGGAAGAAAGAATGGAAGGATATCAATTTTAGAATATCTTATGCTGATTTTTGGGATCTTAACCTAATAGCATTTTGTATTAGCTATAGTTTAGTATATAAAAGAGAAAAATCAATAAGATAAGTAGGCAGAGACCTATTGGTCAAGTACTCAAGTTTCTGGTCATCCCTATTATAATATCGTCAGTAAAATTACGTATTTCCTCTTATTCCTGATTCTTTACTCCTATCACATTATATCTTCAACAGCAGTCCACCTACGTATAATTCGATGGCGAAAGCCTATGGTTACTCTTAATGGTGTTATCACAATCAGCTTAATCGCATACATATGGAAGCCAGCATGCATGTTTAGGCTCAAAGATAAAGCTGATTACAAGTCTGTCTGTCAGGACACATGCGAATTCAGAAGATTTCACGTTATTTCGTCTCTAATTTGCATGGAGAAGTAAGAAAATAAAATAAATTATCTTGAAAGCATGCATGTTTAGGCTCAAAGATAAACTGATTACAAGCCTGTCTGTCAAGGACACAGTGAAAGATGCGAATTCAAAAGATTTCACGTTATTACGTCTCTACATTTGCATGGAGAAGTAAGAAAGTACAATAAATTATCTTGAAAGCTTAAAATTAAGCTAACCTGCCGAATCCACCAATAAACATAAGTTGAGATCTTAAATCCCTTTGAAGAATCATACTTCTCAATTCCTCGAAGCAATCCAATCAGACCACCCTGCACAAGCCAAAGAAAATTCAGTTTGTCCTGCTGAAATTAGATCAACCAACACATGCACCCTGAATCAAGTGGAAAAGAAAATGTAACCTGAATAAGGTCAGCCATTTCAGCACCCATGTTGTCGTATCTTTGAGCGATAGACATGACAAGACGAACATTGCTCATAGCCAGCTTTTCTCTTGCCAGTGAACATTCAATCAATTTGGACTGTAAATCAGTGCGGCTAATCCTAAGGGAATTTGCAAGTTGCTCATCTGAAGGCTCACAACCCAATCTGTCTTTCAGCCTGATAAATAAATATAATTGAAAAGCAAACTCGGAGAACAAATTCATTTTTTAATGTGAATGAAATATTATTAAGGGATACAAGAGGTGAATCAAGTCTCAACCTGGACCGACGCTCTTCCACCAAAAGGCCAGTTTTAATCTTCTGTGATAGCTGAACGACTTGTGCATGACTGAGCAATTCTTCACTTACAATACCCTTTACATAACCTTTCAAGCTATTCTTATCTGGACTGATAAAGGGTCTCCACGAATTATTATGATTTTTCCTATTGAAATCTTTTGCTCTGGAATCTATCCTGCGACGCCGTGCAGAAGTTCCAGAGCAAATTACTTGAATTTGCTTCGGGGCTTTTTCTCTATCTTTTGGTTTAGTAGATGTTTTCGTGGGGGAAAGATTCCACTGCTCTTCAAGCATAGATTTCTGCAAGAGAAGGATAGCATCAACCAAATACTCAGGATCGGAAGTTTCTAGCTGAGGCTCCAATGTAGCAGCAGATTCCAGGTGACGATTTTGTTTGATGGACTGAGGAATTTGCCGTCCGTTTGATGATGACTTTTTGGCAGTGATAGTAATTCTCTCTTTAGGTTGAAATTGCAGCTGCTCGGTGGTGCATTTAAGGGCGAGATGAAGCCTTTTACCAGTGCTAATTCCGACAACAGTAGCAGCAGTGGCCATGATTCACACGCCTGATATCACATACATCAACACCAACTCTTTTTTTTTTTTTTTTTCTTTAATTTTCCTGTGTTTATAAACAATTTTTAACAAATTAATAGAAGAAATGGAGTTAATAAATGCTTCTCTTGTTATTGTTTGTTTCAAGTAGCTGGGACTATCGTAGCTCGATAAGATCGATGAAAGACCAAATAGAGGGGTGAAAAGGAAGAAGAGAAAATGGTATAAATTTGAGAAATGGATACTTAGAAAGCGAGATCGTAGAGAAGATTAATTGATTTTCATGGATTGATTGTTTGTTACCTGTGAGTGATTCTGCCGATTTCTTCTGTGCTGTTGCAGCTGAGATTAGTAGCCTCACATTACTATTTATTATTATTATTACAACGTTCAAAAAACAGAAAAGAAAACAAAAGGGATAATTTTTTTTTTTTTTTTTTTTTTTTTTTTTTNNTTTTTTCTTTGGAGAAATAAGTTAAAGGATATGGGTAGAAGGAGGGAGAGGCCAATAGCTATTGGCTGGTTCAGATATTTGGGGCTGCTTTGCTTTGGGTGGTTTACAGCCTTCCAAGTTTCCAAACTATGTGACACCTTCGCTTTTCACCCAAAAATCTATATCTTCTATATCCATCTATCTATCTATCTAGGGATCTTCTGAAGACAGGTAGTGTTGTACATAACTGACATCAGGTTGTTCACTTGATGCAGGATTATTATTATTATTATCATTATTATTATTATTATTATTAGTATATTTATTAAGTAATGGTTAGCTTAGGGAATAAACTAAGTTTAGGGTTAGAACTTTATTTAAAGGGCAGTTGTGATTTGTTATTGGGAGCTGAATATTTGAATGAAAAACTATCGTGTTTCTTTGAGAGAGTATCTCATTCTTTGAGTATCGAGAGAGTATCTCGCATATTTCGTCTCACTCGTACGCTTCCCTACATCAGTTGGTATCAGACGTCAGCCAAGATCGGACGATGCCGCCCATGAGAGGAAACAACGTGACCGCCATTGCAGATCGATTCCAGAGGATGGATGATCTGGATGAACGATGCACGGATTTCTTTACCGGTATCGACGAATTACGCCAGACAATTAATACCATGATGGAGGAGATTCACACGAACCGTGACATGGCTTTGGGCCGTGGCACTCGCGGGGGAGGCAGAGGCGGACGTGGAGGACTCGACCATGTCGGGGCGCCCCGACGGCGGTCTCCGCCGCCTCTGAACGGCAGCAACGATGACGTTTCCACTTGGTCGGTCAATCCTTTTGGCGACCGTCAACCGAGACGTGATGATGGTTACGTACTTGTTGAATGTCGCAACAAACCCTGCAGCGACATCCCCGTCGCTCGTGAGGAAGAACAGGCCCTAGGCGGTGACCGAAAGGAGGGCGACACGCCCCGTTTTCACGAACGGCGGCCGACTGGGGTCGATTTCGAGACGCGCTGTGACCGCAAGGACCGGCGTCCAGCCGTTGACTTCAGTGACGGCGGTTATCGCGGCTGTTGGCCCCGCGACCGGCTGAGTACTTCTGCCGATTTGGGCGTTCCGAAGGGTCGCACACCTTTTTGGAGCTACAGGTTTGATGCTCCGTGGCCAACGCCATTCCAAAAGACCGGCGGCGGCTTTTGAGGGGTTTTCTGGCGGCTTTCGGGCTCGCGATCTGAGGAGGGAAGACGGTGGTCATGGTGCAACCTGGGATGGCGACGGACGCTGCGTCACGGAGCGAAGGCACGGTGGACCAGGGCGCGAACGGTGCTACTCCGGCGTTGGATTTGCTGACCGCGAGTTCCGGCGAGGGGCTGCCGGCGGGGAGGATTTTCGCGGATGGCGGCACGATGGACGGGCAGACGACGATTTGAACGGGGGTGAAGCTTTTGTTGATGATCGGCGATTTGTTAATTTGGGAGTTGGGCAGCGTGTTTGCTTTACTAATGTTGCAAGTTGGGCCCATTGGTGCAATAATGCGCTTGATTTTCATGCCCCAGTTCATGATTTTGGTGCGGCCCATTTTCGTAAATATGGAACTGATGATGTTGTTGATAATAGATGGGAGTCGACTTTTGTGTTGAAACTCGGGAATTTATTGGTGGGTCCGGCCAAATTTTTTAGCCTTATAAAGAGCTAGAATTTGAGCCATTATACGATGGTCCGCCCGTTTTTGATGAAGAGCCTCCGGTGCCGGAGACACATGAGGGCGACACTTTGAGCTCCACGTGGGACATCGTCATGGTTGATCATTCTCCCGAAAGACCATCGGTTGGACCCAATTTTCGGGACATCTTAGCTAAAGATGGGTTTTTGAGGCCGCAGCTGAGGCTCAATGACTGGTGGGCCATTTTGTCTCTACACAACTCTCCCAACACCAGGATGTTTAGCTGCAGTTATGGATTTGAGCTCGGTGAACGTTGTGAGATGATTGGTGTTCCTTCCGCTGTGCGGGTTATGCGTAGGGAGATGTGTACGCGTGACTTTACCGCAGTTCGACCCTTGCTAAATGTTTGTCCCATTTTTGTGTCTTTATTTCGGGTTTATTTTCTCTTTATTTTTCCCCTCGTATAGGATTTTCGTAGTTTATTTGGTCCAATTCTGTGATTTTTCCGTTCTTCTCTTTAGTTCGTTTTGTGCGTCTTTTTGCTGTGTTTTGCTTCGTGTTTTCTTCGTGTTTGTGTTATCAGGAGGTAGGTTGTGTTGATCGAGGACGGGACTACTTGAGCTGAGACCGGGATATCAAGAAGACCCATTAACGTGCTCAGAATACTGAAGAAGGGACCGGAAAAACGAACCGGAAAGCTGCTCAGAACAACTCGCGACTCGCGAGACATTGTCGCGACTCGCGAGGATGTCGCGACTCGCGAGGAAGTCGCGACTCGCGAGTCCAACAGAGCCGAAAGACGAGTTCCGCGAGACGAGTCGCGACTCGCGAGTCCATGTCGCGACTCGCGAGATAAGTCGCGACTCGCGAGT